CACTGTATCACTCCACTCACCACTGTTTTATTTCGTGTGGAGCCACAAAATTACAACTGAGGAAAAACACACAGTGAAAGACCACAGTGCCTCCGCACACTTTAGGAGAGTGGGAAGCATGATCCAGTGCAAACACATGTGCTTCTTATTTGTTCAACAGATAACTGACATGCTTTACAGGTGGAGGATGTGTGTCCTAGTGAAGTATAACATTTTGCGAGGCAAAAAGACAACTGACGTTTGTTTGTTCAGCCCTGTGGGATATGTTGCCCAGGTAGCCTATGGATTGCAGTTGGTGCACTCTGCTTTGTTTCAGCACTTTAGGACCAAATGTGAGCCAGGACACTGGCTATCGTTCTGTAATGGCTGCCTGGTTTGCCTAATTTCAGAGTTGACTAGTTTATGGTGCATTTTATAGTTGATATTAAATCAGTTTCACTTGGAACTATGGGTCAGATTTTAGCCATTATCACCCTATGGAATTGATTCTGACAACGGCAAACAGGCGTGCTGACTTTTTGAAGAGGTTGATTATGGCATTACTCAATATTATCAAATAACTACAGATTGCTTGGGAAAACAATACAACTATGGCTTGCCTAGTTGCCCTGGGTTATTGGCTCCATGCTGCTGCAATTAAATCCTTCATGGAGTTCAGGATATAGCCAACCTTCCCCTGGGTTTTCTTGCCCGTGAGACAAAGACAATCATCTTGGCTTCCAACATGTACCAGACTGCACTGTGAGAGACTGTCAATATGGGAATACTGGGATTCTCTTGCATTTGCAAAGCAGCAAGGAAAACAGTGGGGTATTTAATCTACACCCGTTTGCCACCAAAGTTTCTCAGTAATGTCAGCTGATAACTAACAATTAACAATGGATGACTAAGATATTAAACTTTTAGTTTTGACTACAAGAAGCTGAACTCTGTGACTCCAGTAAGTGGGCTTCCCTTGAGAAGGTCTTTGTTCAATTTATAAGGAGTAGCAAGTTCCTTCACCTTTACCATGGCAGATTGGTCAGTTATCTTTCAGTAGCTCTCACTGGCTGCGGTTAAAAATAGGACAGCAAATCAGTTGGTCTCTAGTGTGATGAGCGCCATTTACAGGATTTAAGAATTGTAACAATCAGGCTCATGTACGTACACCGCAGTCTGTCCTTTTCTCTTTACAGATACTGGCCTGGATCATGTATGTGTTATATGCATATGATATATCATATGATATGATGATGATATGATGAGTAGTATCATGTATCACAGATGACATACTAAAGAAGTAATGTGGGACATTTAAACATCACATCATGAACCTATAGTATCCAAATCCAATACCTTTACACTCTTACACTGGATGTATCTTTTAGAACAGGATGTTTTTAATGTTGTGCATTTTAATGAGCTGTTTAGAGAAAAAACAGCTACCATTTGCACCCGCCCCTGTATAAAAGGTGCACAAACCCTAAAGGGTGTAGGCCAGTGTTAATGGCCTCACAGGAGCAATCAGAAAACCTAGAAAAGGATGTCCGAGGGTAATGAAGCTGGCAAGTCTTCAGAAATACCCCAGGGAGTTGGGGAGGTTTCCTTGGGGGTGGGGGTTAATGCAAGTATTGAACTGTGTACTCAGCCTTGTATATTTGAGAGATTGGCTTCAGTCCTGGTGAATGGTACAAATGTTTACAAGAACAGCTAAATCAAAAGACTGTTATTGGCCCCCTAAATAAAGGAACCGCACCTGCCCACACATATACCTAATGCATATTTCCTGTGGTTTCATTCATATCTCTGTATTCACTTTCTCCAATTTCCTTTCTCTCTCTCACACACACTGTTTCTCAGTTCGGTAACAGCAGCCAGAGGGCTTTGCAGCTGCCACAGTCACAGCTATAATAAATCATATTGCCACTTCTGGCTGTGCAATTCAGTCACAGACCTGCATATGGATGAAAACACAGCCGGGGCTGTGCATCAATACAGCAAAATTGCTTTGTGTATTGAAACATCAGTGTGTTGTATATTTATTCAGGGCTGTGTAGAAGTGTATAAATGGCTATCTTCCATTTTATATAGGCAGGTAATGACTGCATAATACCCTGCTCTGTTTAGGTACATGCTGTGTGTTTTACGGGGCTGAAGGAGCTGGAATAGGAATGGTTCTGGGGGTAGCATGATGAGGAGTTATGGGCATGATGGGTAGAAAATGGGGGCTGGGATAATTTCACAGGGCAGTAAACATATTACTCCTTTAAGAATAAGGCTAGTAATACTCTTATTGTCGCCAAATCCCGCTAAAAGCCCAAAATCAACGATGAATTGATACTTTAAAGTAAACAAAGCCTTATATAAAGGAAAACTCCTTTAGATAATGGGCCGCACTGTTGCACTGGGTGGCAAGTTACTGTATTTGAATGTAGTTTATTTTGAGTCAATCCCAGCTATAGCATGCTAGTGTTGTAATTACTCATAATGTATATCAGTCCGCAGCAGAAAATAGTTGCAGATAAATGCACAATTTACACCCGTTTGAGTAACGTTTGGTACAGTGCCTTTGCCTTAAAGTACTCAGTACTCACTACTGTTTCACTACACTACACATCTCTCTATATGTTGTCATATATTGTATTATAATGTACATACTTCAGACTCATGTATTTTTTATATGTATGTATAAATGTATATATCCATATACATTTTCTATTTTTTCTATTTTCTCTCTCTCTATATATATAGTGTTAGATATTATAAAATAATACATAATTTTCACTTATTTTTAATATATCTTTAACTTTAACTTATTATTATTATTTATATTCTTTATATATTAATTTTGGTGTAATGAAAATATTTGCCCCTTGGATCAATACAGTAAAGATTCTGATTCTGATTCTGAAACATTTGTGACCAATTTTTAAAGATTTCTTCGGTAAGAACAAGACTAAGAAGAAAGTATAAAATAACACCAGACTCAACGTAATGTAAGTTTGATGACGTTTCATCATCATCATCATCTTAGCAAGTCCCACATTATGTCAGACCGGAATACTAAGAACGGAACTGTTTGAGGATCCTTGTGTCAAAATGTTTTAGTTGAAAAGGTTCTTCTCCTCACACTGAGAACAAAGCATACAAGGACCATCAGCCTAACTGGGAAACTGGACTGAAACCTAAACATTTTGTGCAAGTATTTTGCCCCTCTGCCTCTCCAGTGTTAACTATGGAGTTCTCATGGTAGCATTTTCTCATCATTATCCAGGTACTTTGCTCAGGGTTACATCTCTGTTCCCAGGACAGTCAAATCTTGGTTAAGTGTTGCCCATGTTTCTATGGATGATGCCCTGTGATCTAACCAGGGCCTGTGAACAGACAGTCTCCCAGCCCAAGTGGACGGGACTCTCCTCTGGGAAACATGGGACAATACTAAGCTGTTATTCTACTTCAGTAAATGGGTGAAGGAAAGACAGAGAGTCTTTGAAAGATGTTCTTCCCGTGGAGTGCAACAAATGAAGTGTTATAAATGGCTGGATACTTTTTGAATAATAACAATAACAGAAAGATGAAGAAAAGGAACTACAGTATATTGTAAGGTACTTTTTGATACAGGGCTTTTGAAAGTAATTTAAGAAAATTTACAAATTCCCTTCCTAAAATGTAAAGTCTTGAAAAGAAATAAGATTAGACCTGAGAAGTGTAGACTCAAAATCCCTCACTATGCTCAGGCTCATTAAGTTTTAGATAATATATTATATATTCTGGGACAAGTCCAAGTCCTGTTGTTAAGTAATACTTTTTTTAAAAAATGGATTAGGATATTTATGAGAGTGAAATACAGCTAGGACAAATAAATCATTCCTGTTTCAGCACATCTTTTGAAAAGGCTGGCAGCCATGTCACAGAGCTGTTAGGACAGGAAAGGAAAGATTTCAGTTTAGATGAATCTAATTTGAAGAAAGATGCTGGTTTGCTTTATACCCTCTATTAGTAAGTATTATCCCTTAAATACATGTTGCAAACAGTGTTATCAAAATTTGTTCTGTGAAGTCTTGGGATAAACAGACATAGGTCATTGCACTTTGCAGACATAGGTCATTGATTGAAAGCTTTACATAAAATTACCTACACTTTTTAACACAAACATGAGAATACATGGCAAGGACCAAGCGGGCCATGGGCAGAAGGAGGATATCCACTAGTCATGACAACATGTAAAATGTAAATAGGTTACTGTTCGCTAACACACTCAGCAAAACCACTTCATAGGTAAGAGGAAATATGTTTTATTGAATGTAATATATATAATATTTTGGATTTTCAGATTTTTCTATCCCGTATGAGCCTGTGCACAGCCTCAGATGGTCAGGCAAGGAGGCTTGCAGACTCTTTATCTTTCACATCACATCTGTTAAAAAGAACTTCCTTTTATTAACATCAGTCCATGGTCTGTTTTTTGTGAATTTAATTTAATTTTGTTTTATCTTGTTTTATCGTATTGAGTTATATTTGATTTCATTTTTGTACTTCTAGTTACCTGATGTTACCTGTCCTGTTATGGTTTGTAAAGATAAAATGTTAAGTTATTACCAAATTAAGACAGAGCCCGGCTCCTCTGATGATGCTTCTGAACCATTGACAGTATGTCCTGAACACAGAGTGATAATAGTGTATTCTTTATTGCCCCCTTTTGGAAGTTAATATAGGCTGCAGCTCATCTATCTATGTAAACTCACTTCTGAATAATGGAGGAAGGTCAGAATGGAAGTAATTGATTTAATTTGAGCACAGAAGAGGGAACTGATCTGTGAATAACATGCTCCGTTTATGGTTGTTAAAATGGTGCTGCACTGACCTGGATTCATTTGCTTCAAAGCACAAGCCCACAGTGGGCTTCATAGAGGAAATATAAGGTGTTCCTTTTTACATCATCTCAATATAATGATTTAAATCTATACTTAGACTGTAGATTATATTACACAATGGTGAAAAATAATCACACTCTGACAAGCTTTCCCACACCCATATTTTCTTTAATTAAAAACTTCATGATTTTTCTGTCTTTCAATACAATATGTACATCTCTTTCGTCATATGAATTGATAGAATAATTCAGTACATTACAACATATATACATACCAATGAGTACAATAAAAACCATCATCAGGCCAGAGGCTTGAAATGGTTCTCTGGTCATTTTCAAGTCTGTAACCTCAGGTTGAGGGACCTGAATACTGAAGTCTTCTGATGAAAGGTTGCTGCCCTGCACATCCAATGTGTTAGCACCCCCCTCAGTTAGAGCACTGTGTTGTCCAGTGTTTGCAGTGCATCTGCATTGAGTTAGAAAATGCCCTTGTGCATGAGACCAGGAAAAAAACAATTAGAGAGGATGAATAGACTGACTTTAAATATTTCAAAAGCATGGGGGGCAAGAGAGTCAGACAGTAGGATTTTTATTTCATATGGCTCTCTATCCAGTCTTTGAAGTTGCCTACATGTGTATAGACTGTGTAGAGGTCAGGATCACACTCCCCTTGGTCATAACCAAAGCTTACCAGTCCCAGGAGTCTCCACAGAGATGGCTTACGGTTGTTGCCGGTTTGGCTCTCAGAGAGAGCAGGGAGGACAAGTATTCCCCCAGTGTCAGAGGGACATATGTTAGAGGGTCCATAGTCAGGCTTTTGGCTTGCACAGAGCATGTTGTCTGTGACGCTGACTGGCACGCCGTTACGAGCATACTGCTGCTCACATGGGACTATATCGGCAAGGTGAACAAGCCCAACCCTTGCCTTCTCATCGCGACCTAAATTTGAATCAGGCAGCGGAGACCAGCCCATCACAAGTCCCTGTTCAGAGGTCACATCTTCTCCCTGGCTGTCTGAGAGGCAGAGGGGCAGGACCTTCTCCCCGATCCTTGCTTTGTCCAGTAACTTGACCACAGCCATATCAGAGTCAAGAATATGGGGGTCGTAGTTTGCATGAACAGCAATGGAGGCCACCTGAAGGAGAAAGAGGAGTTAATGTGTAAGTCTTGTTAAACAGGATCACGAGAAACAAATTTCTCCAATAGCTTACCCTCAGGTGCTGAAGACCTTTACTGTCCCTGTGGTCATCACGGTAGTGCTTCCCTACCACCACCTTGATCTTGGCTGCATCCAGGGGATACACCTTCCCCAGCTCTGTCACACAGTGGGCTGCAACAACCACACTCCTTTGGTTCACCAGAGCCCCGCTGCACACTAGCTGCCAGTCAGAAGCCTGATCATGGTTGCCAGTTCCTGCTCCATCGTTGCTCTTCAGGGACCCTGCCTGGCTGTCTGCCTTGGTCACCTTTGTCTGAGCTCCGTTGGTGGAGCGGCGATAGATGGCTGCCAGCCAAGGCCAGTGAGCCTCTGCTGGCCTCTCTGGGTCAAAGGTTGGATGCTTCCCACACACTGCCAAAGAGGAGGTGACAGGATGAGAGGACAGAGAGGGAGAGACAATAATCAAGAGGAGGGGAGGGAAAAAGAAGACAGGAAAAAATTAGACTTACATTGAGACTGTGTCAACACTTAGTGCTGTCTTTGAATCGTCCTTCCCTTCAGAGAGCTTTTATTTTAAACAGACACATCGGGTTGTAAAGATTGTTTGCCAAAATGCAAAGCAGTGGCAAAGATGGAGCAACATATAAAATACTCAAAAGCCACACAGTCTTGTGAAATGTGAGAGCCCCTAACTCATGAAAGAATCCTTAGTGCATTAGGCTTAGAGCCTGTTTCACTTACCAATGTTCAAACAATGCACAACAGGGGATTTAAACATCTTATTCCTGATGTCATCAACCAAGTTATAAATAATCAGACATAAGACATAGATTTTAGTCATACGTTTTTAGATTTCCGAGGTGCTTTTTCTACTTTGTTCCACAATATTGTGATCAGCACCCTAAAAAAATCAATCAATCTCCAGTGCCTGTTGACATTGTTACTGTACAGATATGTGCAGACCACTTTCATTAAAGTTGAACACAGCTCACAGAACCAGTACCTTTCCAGGTTTGTATTAAGGTAGGCTATTCATGAAGAGCAGTCAGTTCTGTGATTGCTACAAATAGTGATTAGTGTTAGCAAAGCTGTCAACTCGCTAGTTTTTGATCATAAGCAATGTAATCATAACAAATGCACGTGTACAGCTGTCCATATTAACAACAGTGGTATTGCACTCTGAAACGGGGGGCACCAAATAGCAACAAATACCAAATCTTCCTGTTGCTTTAATTACAGTGTGGAAGAAACTGTTTAATCAAAGATGCTGATCTTTTAAACTCTCATGTATCTATCACACTGCTCCGCAGTAAATGTCATGAGAGGACTACAGCTGGCAGGAATGTCAAAGAGATGGATGAAAAAGCTGGCAATGTACTGCTGAATGTCAGCAATTGGAGTATTAGATAAAAGTCTGTAAAGAGACCATGTCTAAATGATCACATAATAGCTTTGTTTCAGATATCACTGTTCATGTGTGGGTGCAAATCACTGTGTTAAAATGTGTGTCAGTATTTTTGTTCTGGTGGTTATTTCCTGTGGTCAGACAACTAATGGTCCTATACTGCCATCACCTGGTGAACAGGACACATGACGCCCGCTCCATTTCCCAGTCTTCAAGCAAGTGCGGCGAGAACTGCCAGAGTGTTGGTAGAACGTAGAGGCACACTCATACTCTATATGTGTGTAGAGGTGGTGGAAGCCCTGGGGCAGGTGGAAAAGCACTGGTGGGCCTTTGGTGGGGCTGTCAGACTGGAGTTGTCGGCCCAGCCCAGAGGAGTAGAGCTTGTGCACAGGTGTCTTTCTGAGGTGAGAAGAAGAGGCCAAGGGTGTGTAGACATACAGTAAAAGGATAAGTAAAAGCTTTTTGAACAGGGGTGCAGAAAAAATTTACTGTATGACATAAAAGTTACTATTATATAACAAAATACATTGGTAAACATACCTGAATGGTGCCTGTGGTGGCAGGACTCTGTGTTTAACCAGCTCTGATACTTTGGGCTCCCGACATGCTGCAAACACACACACACACACACACACACACACACACACACACACACACACACACACACACACACACACACACACACACACACACACACACACACACACACACACACACACACACACACACACACACACACAACTAACTTATTAAATCATCAGGAAAGTCCAGCCAGTGGACACTTTTCTTTTGGCAAAGAGCTCCAGATCCAGACCAAAATCCATTAAGAGCTAATTAACACTGACAGCTTTAGACTGATGGATTATTGCACTGCAAGAATCCTTTACCCACTAGCATTTAATCTTAGCATTTGTTTAGCATTTAGCATTTTACAGCACTTTACTTACTAGCCTTTATATCTACAAGCTAATGGCCTGATCCAAAGCAAAAAACCCATGCCCCTTACTCATTTTCTAATAAAACTACAGCACTACATGTTTGTAGTAAAACCCTTTAGATGGCATTTCTTATTAGAAGAAGATGAAATGTACACCTTCCACAAGCAACTAACTAACGTCAGCATCAGCAATTAAACTAATTAAACAGTGACTAAAGAGATGACAGTACCTCTGACACAGAGCGGCTGTTTGCCACCCCAGGTACCATCTGGCTGGCAAGTACGTCGGGTATCGCCACTGAGAGCATAGGAGTGGTTACAGAAGAACTCCACTGTTTCAGGCTCTACCCCAGGCACAAGACGATGGTAGCCATGGTAGAGGCGAGGGAGAGGCGGGCAGCCTTTCTCTGCAGGAGAGAGAACAAACAGTAGGTGAGGTTGAAGACCGAGCTGAAGGGGATGATATTCATTGTTATTTTTCTCTCTTACCGGCAAAGCTTTGGTTGGCTTCCTTCTCCTTTTCTTTTTCTTCCTGCTCCCTTTCCTTCTCCAGCTCCTCCTTTGTTTTTTCAGCAGGATCCTTCTCTGTCTTGTCCTCTTTAATTGTTGGTTTTTGCTTTGGTTTCCCACTTCCCTCACCTCCCGCTCTGTACATGGTGTACTGTGTATTGTTGACTCTAGTAGGAATGATTTTCCTCCCCGGCTCTGGAGAACCTATGCTATTATTTTCTTTCTTTGCATCCTTTGTATCATACATGACTGTGTCATTTTTTGTAATTTCCACTTTAAATATCTCCACTGTGTTTTCACCCTCAGCTATGACCGTCCTCAGCTTGGTATCATTAGGGCCAACTTTATCTGGATCTTTTTTTCCATTCACCTGCTCCTCTTTCCTTTCCTTCTCTTCTTGTCCTTTGTCTTTTATCACAACAATTTCCGTGATATCGGTTTTTCCAGTCTCTAACTTTGTTTCTGGGCTGCCTTCTGTTTTCTCGGGTGGCTTTGCTACCTCAGGTTCTTTCTTTTCAACCGTATTCAGGTTGTTGTCTGAGCCTTTACTATCCACTTTGTCTTTGCTGCCTCCAGTGGGGTTCTCTGACCCAGTATTTTCTCCCTCTGGCTCTCCTTCATTCCCACCCTCAGCCGCAGTTTTCTCTGGAATGGTACCAGTATATTTATCTTCTCTGTTGACTGCTGTTGTGTTCTCGTGCCCAGTGTTTATATCTTCCCCTCCAGCACTTTCTTTTTTTCCAGCTGTGTTCTCTTGACCTTTCTCTTTAGTTTTGCTGATATCTTTGTCACTGTATGTATGTGTTTCTGTCTCTTTTGCCTTGTCTTTGTCCTTTTCTGCTTCAGTGAGAGTATTATTCACTGTGGAAAGAAAACAAAAAGAAAGATCATTACTGAAGTGTCTGTTAGCAAGTGATTACAAATCCTTTTGTTCAAAGTTGTCTCGTCATGCTGAATGACTCTAGGCACTCACTCATCTCATCCATTATCCTTATAAAAATAAAGTAAAATTAACTGCATGTCCTTGTGCTCTTTTTGCACTGACTCATCCTTTTAATCTCTAATCCCCATTATTTAAGACACTTTGTCTGACCTTGGGTGCAAACAGGAGGAGTCCCACTCCAGGTGTTGTTAGGGAGACAGGTTCTCTGGGAGTTCCCACTGAGCTCAAAGGGCTGGTGGCAAAGGTACTGTAGAGCAATCAGGACATCATTGGGCCCATAAACCAAGAAGTGGTCACCATGTGTGGGCTTGGGTGGTAAAGTACATACTCTTTCCACTGGCACTGGAGAGAGGAAAGAAAATGAAGCTTTTAGAAGTTGCAAAGTTTTCCACAATCTGCACCATGGGGCAGTATACATGGCATTCAGAGACAAGCAAAGGACACACATATGACTTTCCCAGATCCTAAATTTTAATTATCTTACCACACTCTGGGGCAGGCGCACTCCATGTTCCATCACTCAGGCAGATGGCAGAACGAAATCCCCGCAGCTCAAAGCCAGGGTCACAACGGAAAGTGATGCGTGCCCCCGAGTGATGAAACAAACCCTCTGTGGATCCATGGGTGGGCACTGGAGGCCTGTGGCAACCCACCACTGAGTGGAAATACAGGCATGCATATTTTATTCATGAACACATGTTGTCTTATTTTCCTGTTTCATAACTGAAAGCTGGGGCATCAAAATGAAGATGTAAAAAGGGATTTAGGAAGTATCTCTCTAGCATTCATGTCTGAATGCGACATTAAAACAACATTAGTTTATTGCACCTTCCTGCTGAAAAAGACCACACAAATAGAGTCAGTGAGTTAATTGCCTTCTGGTGTTTACAGGTCAGACAGGTAGCCCACAAAACAAAATTTCAGCTCTCAGACTCATTACTCCTAATTTAAAAAATGTCCAGAGCTTTAAAAGCATAGCCTGTTACCTTAGAGGCCCATTACTGAATAATTTCACCCATCATGGTAAAGTGTGAACAGTTCACAGCAAGACTTTAACACATGGCTTGTAAATGAGGAAGAAATAGACGCAATAAAAGAGCTTTAATCAAACTGTTCAATTTTCCAGTGTTGTAAAAGGGGATTTTATGAAGTGGGGTAGTAGAGATTGGTAACAATGTGGTGGAATACTGTGCAAAATAAAACTATCTATGTCATAAATGGGGAAATTATTGTGTAATTCTTTTAGCATTTTATGATGTGCTGTTTCTCTGTGCTTACAGTATCTGGTTCTATCTTAAAGGCAAACTGCAAAATGTGCACACAAATGTTGTGGTTCAGGACTACACCACCCACAACTGAGTTCACAAAAATTCAATCACCCATGTTAACACTGACTTTATCATACCATTACAGCACTCACTGTGAGATGATCCCTCAGGAGTGTTTTTGTGGTGTTGACTTTAAGCTGGGTTAGATCCATGAAATGCACTGTCTGTGGTTTTATAGCTGCAAACCAAAGAACCCTCCCTATAATCTGGGCGTTTTTGCCTTACGGCATTTTCAACCTTCAGTCCCTTAGGGGATGGAGAATGCTGTTGGCCAACCAAAAGTGGAAAAGTAAACTGTAGTTGACCTCCTTTGAATATGTTTATAAAAAGTTAAAGCATCCTGAGGTGCTGTTTGCATTGTTGTATTGAGCTTTAATGACCCTTCTTCCATGTCAGAGTTTGTCTACAGACATAATGAAATGAGTCTGGGGTCATTAGGGTGGAATGCTAACATACCATAACTGGCGACACATACTGTAAGTAAATCATCATTCCTTTCATTTTTCATTAACGCCTTGGAAACTATGTTAAACACTGCACTCAAAAACAGATTAAACTGAAGAATACATTAAACTGTGCCAGAGAAAGAAAAGAAAAGTGGACAGAAATCATTTTACCATCTTGAGTTTATACGATAACGTGTCAAGATTCTCTCACACAGAATGAGTTTTAGCTCAGGCTTATGACAGGTTGTTTATTGGAGATGTAAAATACAGCTGATGTCAGGTTCATACTTAAAATTCTCCATCTGACTCCAGGGGATAAATGTAGACCACATTTCCTCTACAAAATGTCAGACATTAGGGCTATTCCAGCTCTCTTTCATTAAAATTAACAGCTGAGGAATCCTCATGAGAATACAGATGAATGCACACTGTGTGGAATGAAACTCTAGGTTTTTTTATAGGTGTCTCCTCCAATGGAAAAGCTGACTTGTGTTACAGAAGTAGAATTGTTCACAGTTAGTTTTATAGACTTAAATTAAGCCCTGAAAAAGACACCACTAAAAAAGTGAGTGGGGTTCAGGAAATCTGTTTCTGTGGGATCTTAAGGGCAGTGTATTGGGTGTAAAAACACAACTTAGGGTTCAGACATCCATAAATAAAAGACCTTGAAGGCTAACCACACCTAGATTGAGCACTACCCCACATGACGAAATGGAGCTCTGCCAGTGTGTTGGTGGAAAATAACCACACAGATTTAAGGTGGCATATCGTGAGTTTCTTCAGAAACCAGAATGTTTGTTGACATTACCAAACAATTTTTTTTCTTGTCTTCATTCTTGATTATCCATATACTTTGTTGGCGCATTTTCCCTTTTAATTTCTTTACCCATTTATTTGCCTGTCCCCAGCACAGTATGAGTTAATGCATTAGTTTGTTCAATGCTGCTTATTTTCATGCAAACATAGTTGTGACAGTAGGTTGTCATTTGGAATTGCAGTCCATCTGCTGAAACTTATTTTATAGTTGTAGAAAAGCTGACTGACCAAAACCATAGATGGAACTGCACGGATGGGGAAGGCAGCTGGCCTGAACCTAGTCCAAACCACAGACCTCTCCCATGTGACAGTGAATCACCGCCTGCCTCTGGGCAGCAACAACAACAAAAAAAGGTTTGCAGAAAGAAGTCATTTTTCAGGAAATTTTTACGTAACTAGGTGTGTCTGATTTCAGATGAATATTATTTATTATGAAATAATTCTGAGATATTGTAATTGTCAATGCAGTAAGGAACGTCTTTTGGACACGGCGAGAGATGGAAAATTCATGTCATGCCTACAGAATGCCATAAAGACTGCTTTATTTTTCCTGTGATTACAACCTACAGGCATTTTTTTCCCCGCACTTCCATCCCCCAAACAACATAAAATATCAGCATTTTTCAAGCATGCTCGTATTGTAGAAGCTTCAGTTCTGTTACAGACTCACCATTTTCACATCTCTTGCCTGTGTAGCCAGCCAGACAGGCACAGTGGTAAGTGTATGAACTGTCCAGGATACAAGTCCCATCATGCAGGCAAGGAGAGGAGCTGCAAGCTGTAAACACACAAGTTTGTGACATTAGGGTACAAGAAGAAATGTTGTATTTATTTGCAGAGTAATAACACAATCTGTATGCCAGAAGGCTACATCAAGGGATTCATATTCAAAGCCAGCACCATTTAAATGTCATTGTTACTTTCCATTTCTGAATGTGTGTATGGGCATTTCTACACAGAAAGCCTCTGTTGACTTTTACTAGATCTGGCTTAGCTGCTGGTAAATTACGTGTGTGTGTGTGTGTGTGTGTGTGTGTGTGTGTGTGTGTGTGTGTGTGTGTGTGTGTGTGTGTGTGTGTGTGTGTGTGTGTGTGTGTGTGTGTCTGCTTCTGAGTTTGAGACCTTGAGAATGAGGACATTTCTGGAACGTAAGGACATTTTGGTCGGTCCTCACTTTTTCAACGGGCTGTTAGCATGCTCAATACCCTGAGGAAGGCTTTTGCTTTTGCGTGTAGGTGTCAGTCATGCACTGTTAGAGGCTTTTTATTACACACTGGACTCTGGGTGCCATGGAAAATTCTTTTTTTTGTTTGCATTTGCATTTGCATTGGCCCATGACTCTAAAGAGTCCCTTTGTTCATTGAGTATGACTTACTTCAAATTACTTTTTATTTACTGTGTAAGGTCACTCTCTTATTGGGAACTTCTTTTGGACTAGGGCTTGGTTTTGATGATAAAATTACCCTTAGAGAGTGCATCACCAAAGGTCCTCAAAAGGAGTAAGTAATTTATTATTAGTAATAATTACATATAAATAGTAGTAGCAGCATTATTTTTGCTTTTGCTGATAAATGACACTGGTGTTTGACCTGCCTGAGCTCTCCTGGAAAGTGGCAAAGAATCCGTCAAAGTTCTTGTAGCCATCAGACACAAAGAGTATGTGCAGACTGTTGCCAGAGCTCTGGACTGGGGCAGGTCTGCTGCTCCCGCAGAATCGACCAATAACACGTGAGTTTATGCTGTCGCCATCTCGGACCTCCACATAGTCATAGCGGCAAGACTGGTGAAACTCCAGACTCAGCATCATGAACCTGTTAATACGAGGATGAGTATAAAAGAATAGGTCAAATCAACAAAATACAAGTTTGACAAATAATCTAACGAACTAGAATATCCATCAGTGGCTTTTATTTTTACTGTCATTCATACACCTTTATACACTTTATGGATACGATGGAGCAATTTGACTGCATTTAGTAGTTTCTGTTGTGGTCCTGCTATAGTAATGTTTTCCTGGATTATGAGTGCACCTGTGTTCCCTGGCAGTGCCACCAGCTGGCATCACAGTACTGATGCTTTAAAATGCTTTAAAACAGCTGCTGAAGGCGATTTGCCCCACTATTACTTGCTCTTAATGGTGGGTGAAATTTGTCTCATTTTAACCGGGCACCACGGCAGTTAAAGATTTAGATTTATGTTGCTTTATTTTGTGTTTGTGTAACAAAGATTAGTGGCAGTTAAACTGTGTGCAGCAGTAAAGATTCAAGGAAAAAAGGTAACCTGAGATCATGACTAAGGCAGGTATAAGCAAGTAGGATCAAGTTATTACTTTATGCTCCAATTGCACTGATATTAAACGAGTTAGAAGGAAATAAAGAATACTTATTGACGCTTGGCAGCAACAATAAAACAGTTGGCATGGCAACACACCTTAAACAAACAGATGCCAATCTTTGGCTTTGTGGCTTTGGCAGGTTTTAGGGACATCTTAAGAATTATAACACCACTATATCTGATATATAATGTATTGTTTACACTCGTGTGCCTATTTAACAGTTTTAAGTGCACATACAAATGCCATAACATTCATGTAACTGGCTATAATTACTGCTGATAAACAGTATTACCTATCCCAGTCTAAATAATCATCTTGTTATTTCAGACCAGAAGTTGTTAAATGTCTATAAAATATATCCATGAATGCTGAATAAACATGTCGATTGCACAACATTATTTCCAAAACAAGTAGTAGGACTGGTGATTACGGGTATGAAATTTCTAGGTAATGGTTTCACATTTCCAAAACATTCTTAGTGTGCTTTAATAAAGTCAGGACATTCAGAAGGAGTAGCTTCAGGGCCTGTTTAAATGTGAATTTAAGTGAGTATAATAACTGTTTGGAGAAATCTACATACACTTTGAATTCAAGAGTTGTTTGGGTTCAGTTGCAGTCAGAGTGCGACATTGAGAAGACTGCCAGCTGGATAAGGAAAAACACAAAGGAGTCTCCTTTCCCATTCCTGGTGATCAGATGTAATCTCCTTGGCCTTACATTGGAACGGACATGAAGGACTGGTGAACTTTATACAAGACACTGGCAGGCTCCCAAATGCTTTAATTTTACCCTTTATCACAATCCCTTGGGTCATGGAAGCTTAGACTAATGAGATATACAAAAATATTAGCCTGCAGCAGCTCCCAACAATTAATGCCGGTTGTAATCCGGTAAATATGTTGCTTGTGATGTGACTGTATTGCAGTTAAAGAGAGAAATACAGTAAAACCCTGCCAGTAATTCCCCAGTCATTTAGGCACAGACATATAACTTTCCATTAGTCTATATCTGAGCACAGCAGCTCTTTGTCATTTAGGGTTTTTGGGGATTTGTGTCAGAAAGGACATACAAATATAACTAACTAAATATTAGTAAATGTCTATGTTGATGTATGTCATCACAGATTTGATACAACCTGGCAGTCTGCACATCTCACAGTTCACCATAGTTCAGTTTAATTCAAAGCTTTTATACATTGCAGAAAAAATACTTGGAATCATTAAATGTCTTTTATGCACACAATAAACCATTACTGTATGCACTGCATGCTGAGCTTGTATCTAACTGTATGGAGCTTTTGTTCTGCTAAAACCCTGCACAAATGCACGCCTGTAAAGTGCTGTGTGCGTAATGGAGAAAACGACAGAAATAGAAAGTTATCACAGGACTGAAAAGTAATAACCTCCCTGAAAAAAAAGGGGATGTTGTGGTTTCCAAACTTTGCTGTAGACGTGCCATCCGTCCATACATCTTGCAGAAATATCTGAACTGAGTGGAAATTTGACTTAAGCAGGCCAGCCATTAATAACTATTACAGATGGGCAATGAAGATCTCAAAAACTACACTTTAATGCCAGATAAAACTGTGTTGATTTTAACTCTATTGACACAAAGGTTTGCAACATTCTTCAGTTTCTAACAGACATATATTCTTTTGTAAGTCTATACAACCTAATGGAGTTCTGCATGGTTTTAAAATGATCCTTTAGTTGAAAGTAGTTCCAGTGAAAAATATTCTGAATAACTAGGGCACTGTCTCTGAAAATACACATGGCGTGATCGACTCTAGGGATGGTAATGTCTGTTTGGCACCTTTGGTCCAAACTGAAATACCTCATCAATTACTTTCCATGGAATTTTGAACAGACGCTTGTGGTCCAGTGTCTAATTCATTGGTTTATCACAAAATACCCAATATCTAATGACATTCCCATCAGCCTTAGCTGCACTTGGTGCTTAGTGCTAATGCTAACATGCTAACATTAGCACTAAGCACAAAGTATACATTATCTCACAGAGCAATTGGCATGGTTGTAGACTCTTAATCTTGTTTAAAATGGCAGCAGATGCAGTAGAAACACAATATAACCTGTGGTTTTACCAATTATGCTTTGTGATAGACAAATTAAACTACAGGTCTTACCTGAGGTCTATGGTAAAGGGGCGGTCCACCTGTATGGTCCACTCACACCGAGCATTGTTGGGGTAACTCTCCAGCACCAAATGGCCCTGCCGCTTACGGATCACTCCTCCACACTCTGAAAAACATATGGGAATGAAATCAATTTTGGAAAGCAGAAACTGCGGTGCTATTTAAATTCCAACAGCTGCTAATTACAGCATAATTATTATTTTGAGGGTCTACATTCAGCTGCTTTGGTTATAATTCAAACCAGAAGCAATTACATTTGCGTTTCCAAACCCACTGTCAAACATGTTGTGCTCAACAACATAAAGAAGCATAAATATGCGGAAGGCTAACAAAGGCATTCCGCAACCAATCCAGGTTCTGCTTTTAATTAAATGTATGCTTGTTGTGCCCCTTGGGAGAGTATTTAAATATTGAGAACGCTCCAGTCAGTGTCCAAATGTTACATATTAAATTTTTTATGGGATTCCCGAATGTTGACTCTGACTTGTCATTCAGCTCCTCATGGAAAATCTTCTGGGCATATGGCGTCCTTCCAAGTTGGAATAGTTGTCCCAGATGAAGAAAATCAGCAGGAAAGGAAAAAAACATGCAGTATACTGTATTCATTTCACTTATAATTACACGTATACATTTACAGTATGTAGTAAAGCCATGTAGAATCTGCTAATTGGGAGTATGAAGGCACTTACTCATGCAGTCTCCACCAGACCAGCCAGGCCGACACTCAGCGCAGTATTTGCCATTAATGAAGAAGTCATCCCTGGGGCCCCATGTCCCATTGTTGCAGCGCTTACAGTTCTCAAATATACTGCAACCTGAAAGAAAAAAAGCCAGAAGCATACATGCAGTAAAACAGTATACAAACAATACACACAATTGACAGTGTGTCTTTCAAAAGTGCGGTTATTGTTTGTCCGAACTGGGAATCAAAAAAGCATGAGCCATGTCACCCAGCTTCATCAGACCCTTGCCATGTTTCCTTTTTAATCAACTGCTAAACTCATTAAGCCCATCTTTCACTACAACAGAATGTACAAACATACTGTATTGCTGCTTCCTGAAATATAAATGAAGAAAATGGGTTCCTGGGAGGATACATGGATGGATTTTCACTTAAGAGACTGCTCTGTCCAATTGGGGGGGGTAGTTTGGAAAACATCTGAACAGGTATGAATCTTTGCAACAAAATGTGCTGGAGTACACATGATTATGTAGGATTGTACACATCAGGGCTTGGAACATTTTTGTTCCTCTTTTAACAGTAAATGTAATGTACAGGTATCCTTTGAATTTTGAACATCTGTTTCTTCCCCATAAAAGGAAAACATGGGTACATTCAAGCTGTGAAGAAAACATGACATACTTCTTTAGGTGGATGGCATGTAGGAAAATAACCCGAAGAAAGCAAGAGTTTGGAGGCCTGAGCTACAGCACATGTGTGCAGACATCCCCAAGTGATTACATTCTCACGTATATACGCGCCTGTATTTCTCACTAACAGTGAGGTGCTTATATCTGAGTATAAATATAGACAGGTTAACGCCCATTTAATTTAATTTGTAACATTTAATATGTAACATTTGGACACTGACAGTAGCTTTTGGCCTGGAAACAAATTAGATCAGACACAAATTATTTTTAGGCTTTCTGTCATACTGTTTGTAATGCTACAATGTAAACAGCTGTGCAGCTGTGCAGTTGATAGACTGATATTGAAGAAAGACCAATTTCAAGGATGGAGATTCATGGGCCTAGAATCAACAGATTACAACATATGTTATAAAGAGAATGCTAAGTTCTGCCAACCTTTTTTTTTTTCTGTGCAAGATAGTAAAGTTTGAAGCACTCATTTAAATACAGTTTGAATAGTTGCAGAGGTTCTACCCGGATGGATGATGCAGGGGTCACACTCGTTGATGGCGTTGCGACAGCATGGCACTGCATAGCCCACTGGAGTCCCCTGCAGGGGGCATTTACAGCGGATCACATCATACTCACAGCAGCCTCTGCACATAACGTTCCACTCTGGGCCCGGGCAGTGGTTGTACAAATACCTGTAATCTAAACAAGACAATACATCAGGGTCAGCAATTCAGCAGAAAAACACTCATACAAGCAAGCAGGAAACATTTGTTTATGTAACCATTGTTTCATACGTGTACAGAAATAAAGGGGAAGATGAGTCAAACATAGAGAAAATATGACAAATGTAATGACTGGCCTTGTGGGAAAATGAAAGCAAACGCGGGTTATGGTCAGCAGAACCCTGAGAAGCAGTGGAAGGATTCTGGTGAGTGCAGTGTTTATCTGAGCTGCTGCTCTGCACTGGCTCTCTGGTTATTTCCACTGCCATATGGTTGCAAGTTCTTTTTAAAGGGGACCGCAAGTCTCTCAGTAGTTTACCTCCTCTGTATATTACATCAGACAACATGCCACAAGGGGAAAGTCATGGTAAAAAACAGAATCAAATCATTAATCAGAAAGTGATTTATGAAGCACAGTGTAAACACGTACTTTCTTTCTAAAGTTTTTACTCAATAAATGCAATGTTTAATTGGATTGGAAGCAGTGATTCAAGGACCTTTGAGCACGAGTGGTTATGATTATGTAACGGTGGATTTAAAAGCTGAAACAGACAAGTGGAAATTCTCTTGTGGCAGATGTGGACGGAGAACTAACAGAAGCTGCACTTTAAACTTGGCACAATGTCAGTGCAGCATTTTGTAGGTACCCTCCTCCTAGCCCTGTGATCATAATGTCTCTGCCCTCAACCCCACCATTTAGTCTTCCTGAAACTTTCCCACCTAAAAACAGACACACATACTGGTTCGATTTGTAAAGCCATAGTTGCACACAATTTGTTGTTTATATGAGATTTGTGAGACAAAGAATCTATGACACAGACACAGAAATATACTGGCACACAAAAGTGGTTGTTTGCAGACGGTCAACAAGAGAGGAGAAGCGCATATGTCTTGGAATGCTGTGAGTCGTCCCTGCTGCCCTTCCACATTAATGATATCATAAATTGTATTTCAGTCCAGCTACAGTCTGGCCTTCTCCTCAGTTATTTCTCCAAGAAGACACGGTGAGGTATGACATACACACTGATATTAATCAAACAGAAAGTAGGTTGTGCAATGCCACTAGGTCAACTTTAGTGCGGAATTTGAGGACAGAGTCTGTGCTTCATAAAGCTGCTGTGTAGGCTGTTTTATGATTCCTGTTTGTTCTTACAAAAAAATATTGTTTTGATAGCATGACCTCAGCTAGATTTGTGTATTAACCTGAAAAGCATTTTCAGCAAGCCAGTAACAACATGTGATAGATCTCATGACTGTGATTTAATGTCACTCAAATGTTATTGGACCATGGCACCCGTCCACGCCAGTCCCTTACACAATGGCCATGCTGTCACAGTAGTGATTTCATGTGGTAAAAAGCAATGTAAACGTACAACCCCTAAGCTTTATTTTTTAATCAAAGCTAACATTCTTGCATTGTCTTCTTTGTTTAGCTTGGTCTGCCTCCCTGAGAAAAAAACAGAGAAGCTCATAGTTTCGGATCAGTTTGTCATTTCTTTGGACTTCTTTTGACCAAGTGTGAGAACCACAAACATCCATGGCATGGGCATGGCTCATGTGTTTAGAGAGATGTCTGTTGAGACAAGAAGAAGACACTGTACAAAGAGTGAGATTATGCACTGTACTGTGAGTCAAGTACAAATATGCACTATGACAATGGCACAGCAAGTAAAAACCTGTTCTGACACAGTCTACTGTAATTATCAATGATATATTTTGGCTGAATTAATTCAAAATACATTTAAAAAGTCTAGCCCGTTGTTTTAAAAGAGTACTCCACTATAACATTGTCAGACTTGTGATGGACATTTTTCTTCCGCATAAAAAGTTCAGTCGGTGATTTTGGTGTGTTATGCCAATAGCGCCTAATGTAGCATCGAGCTGCTAGCCCCAAGCAGAGATGATGAGCGGGCTACGGAGGTGTGGTAAGCTCATTTCTTTCTAGCTCCCCAACCCCAGATGTGTTTCATTTTCAACCATGTAGTCCACCAGGGCTGACTCAAGTGACATCATCTTGAGGCAATTTAACAGATTTCACACAGCTCTTTCTGAAAACACAAACTGCTTTGAACCACTTTTTTGGGTTGGCAGAGTTCCCCCTTCAATCTGGCACTTCACCAACCCCTCCAAAAAAAACAAAAAAAAAACACTACATGATAAATTGAAGTACTGAAGCTGCTAATTGCTTGATTACAGTAGCCTGACTTTGGCACACCTGGTGTCCATCCAAACTGCTTTCATTCACATAGATAAAATGCAGTTAGAAGCAACTGCATTTCAAACAACTATGACTGTTGTTATGATTGCAATATGACCGACATTACATAAGGCTGGATATTGTTAAACAAGACAGAATGGACTGAAGCCACTGTTACTGGCCTGTTTGACTATTTAGTCTATAAAGTGCTACCATTAGCTGCCTCACAATGAATCACAGCGCTGGATGAAAACAGCGTTGAAAGGTATGATGCCTGACACATGGGGATTGAGAGGTGCTGACACCATCTCCTCACCTTATGGGACAGCTTTTCTGCTTCCTAAGGTTCGTAAAGGATGCTGGCCAGAGAGACTGTGAACCCTGATTTATAGGACATAAACATGAAAGGGTCAAAAAACTTTATTGGCTGGTCTGGTAATGTCATTACATGGCTCACTGCTGTGTGTCTTGTCCAGATAGTGAAATGACATCCTGTGGTTGTAACTGCCCTAGGTACACTTACAGGGGGGGACCCTGATTTAGTGTAGAATTGAATAGATGTTTATTTGTTTAAGTAGGAAATTCATCTTCTATCTCTGTCAGTAACATGAAAGAGCATGCATGCATGATGGGATTAGTTTGCACATTCCTACAAGCTGTTTTCTTAATGCTCCTCCTTGAGCCAAATAAACACAGGCAACAGTGTTTTCAGTGTTTATTCGCTATGAACGGATTCAGTTTGCTGACCTCCAGCTCTGTTGATAAGACTGTTATGTTTTCCTCTGAAGCGTGACTGCAAGGTTTCTCCCCCAGTGCTGGACGCATGCTGGAATGCATTTTTATTTTTCTGGACGGCTATCCCCTCTCCTTAATAAGTGTTTACTGATTTACAACACTGAAGATCATTTTTACATAACTGTGCTTTGGCTTGCGCCCCGGCGATTCACAATTATTCATTTCACCGATAAAGCTTACTGCCTTGTAAAAACACATCCGCAGGCTTCCAGTTCAACACCTGCAGGTAACTACAGACTGGACAGTAACAATTTTATATAGAGTTTTACAGCAGGAAGGAATGAACAGGTGTGGAGGTGCATGTGCACAGGAGAAAAGCCTATAAGCAAACTGGCATTTGTCAAACTACATGCATGACTTTGTCCCTCAGTGTTTGACGCAATGCTGTATTTAAGTGCTTTTGCATACAGCAACTGAGAAAAAATATTTGAATGTGTGACAAAATTGGCATCAACATGCAAATTTCACTACAGTTATCATCATGTTCTGTTCCCTAGACTTGTAATTTTACCCAATATGTGGTTGTGCTGTGTGCCTCTGGCTAAGGTGTATTTAATCACAGACTAGTAGTGTTGACAGTTGAGAGGTACCATAAGTAGGAGGAAATTCATTTGATAATAAAGTTTTTTTCCTTGTTGTGTCTCTCTTTTTAGCCCTCGATTTCGTCCAACCTGTCTGATATTCATTTATTTTGGTATATGTAATAGTGTACACATACTTTCAAGATACACACATAACTAGTTCTGTAGACATGTGTGTGAGAAGATGCTGGCAACAAGCCATAGAAACACAATTTAAGAGATATTTGTGTGGGTTGTTTGGCTTCTCTGGACTGTAAGCAGTATCTGCTTTTTTTCCATTCCAGATGTTAAAAATAAATGTACTCCTCAACATGCATGTAAAGAAGCCATAGAAATGAAAATAGCAGTGATACAGGCATCATAACAGACGCTCTGTCGCCATGGTGGAGACCTCCATGTGTCATAAAGCACTCCCACCCAATCAGAAGCTCTGCAGGTCCAGGCTGTTAGCCGGCATGGCTCAGCTGCACACGTTTGATGTGGATCCAGAGACTGACATCATTATAACGGGGACAGAGACGTGGTCGTGGAAATTCACGTAAGTCCTGTGACTCTGCATCTGACCTCGCTGCCTTGTTGGCCCACTAACCTGAGCCATAGCCAACCCTGACTTCTGCCAAGAACAAAGTATAACATTTTCACGATATTGCGACAGTTTTTAATATTTTTTTTTCTTACTTTAAAAATATATTCTATGCAAATATAAAGCTCACAGACACACACAACCCTTCTATAAGCCCTGGAAAACCTGTGCTCTGCATTCACAATGTGCTGCAGGTGCTGAATTTGACCTTACAAGTGACTCGCCTGCATCAGCTCCAGAACTGTGCCATCATTTTTTTTCTGTACTCAGCTAGGAGTAAAACCCAAAGTCAGACTTTTTATTTGATTTTGCATCAGCATCCACTTTTGCCCCAGTTCACATCACATTTACAGCCAAGCACTGCCTCCAGACACTCAGATAACTTATAATTAAGTTCTAATTTGATATCCAAATGTTCTCAGAAAAGCAGCCATGCTCAGAAACTCAGAAACTGTATCTTATCAGCTTTAGTCTTGTCTTGCTACACGCTGCTATCATATCTGAGCTATTTTTAAATACAAACAATGCTAAAGAGCACAATGCAGAGAAGGCTTGAGCAGAGCCCAGCGCGAACTTTAAGATGAGTTCAACATGCTTGTCAAACACAACACAATGTGGCGTGAGTTAGATAAGAAGACTTACACAAGGGGGCCCCAGTATCAGACCAGGTAGAGAGTAAACCCTGTGTACTAGGGGCTGAGTCCAAGTGCCAGGTTCAATTCCGACCCGTGGCCCTTTGCTGCATGTCATCCTCTCTCTCTACCCCCAGTTTCCTGTCTATCTTCAGCTGTCACTTTCCAAAAAAGAAAAAACCCTAAATAATAATTATTAAAAAACAGATGTCTATATGATAAATATGAAGCTACCAAGGCATCAGCAGTTGATAGGCTTAGCACAAAGACTGGAAACAATTAGCAAACAGCACTATTTCTTGGTCTGGACACAGTCACTTAATTGTCACCTTGGGATAGAACCAGGCTAGCTGTTGCCCACTGTTTCCAGACTTTCTGCTAAGCTAAGGTAACTGGCATGTCATATTTACCAGACGGACATGGTGATTTGGTTCACCCAAATTCTAAAACGCGTATTTGTTCACTTACTCCTAATGGCTTCCAGCAATGCAGGCAGTGTGAGTTTTATTTGACAATGCTGCTTTGCATCAAGATCAACAACACCACATCATTAAGTCATACTTGCTCCTTGCCATAATTACGTGAGAACTCAGAAAAGTTCCCTGTAAACTGAATGACACTTTACAATATAATCCACTACTGAATAAATAGTTTCCTCTTGACAAAATTAGACTTATTTCATGCTGATGTATCATGGAAAAATAGTTGCTTTAACAGCAGCTGTGAGTGCACTTGCTATGCATGTATGTGCGAGTGTATAATTCCTTTTGCCTACTGCCCACTGCAGCTGTCTGGTATTTTGAGGTTGGAGTGTTTTGCTGTCATGAAACAGGGAAACTCCCAGGGGAGCTCTGTGGGCACTGCGTATCTTAACGTAGTCCGATCCTGTGCGCTGATCCCTGTGGTCATCCTGCAGATTGCTTTAAATAAACTTCCCTCCGCTAGGAAACCACAAACCCAATGAAATGCCCTATCACTCTATTATCCACTTTGGTGAAATGGTATGTATGCACGCCAATACGTAGGTCAAACAGGAGTCTGATATGTGCACATTTGTTTTTCAGCATTTAGCTGCTACACTTGGAATATACTCTTGAGTCTGATATGACACACTATTTTTCTAAATGTTCGATCAGAGGCCAGGATTTTTATGCTTGTCTTTGCCAAGATTTCCCTTTCTCCAATGTTTATCTTTACATATGCTAGCCTCAGTCTTTGTTTCCTACAGCACACTATTCAGTAGCCCTGACAATTTCCCTGTAGACTTAAGCTAAACACACTGTAAGGAGTGTGTGTTAGAAGAACAGGACATCTCAGGACTCAGCTGGGTGGAGGATCCTGAACATGAATCCTTATATAGATCAAAATGCCTCAGCCTCAGGAACACCAAAACAAGCACAAATGGACATAAATACAGGCACACACACACACACACACACACACACACACACACACACTCACACGTAAGTAGACCAAGAAGTCAGGCTTCATATGTAAACATGTCTGCTCTGCTTTAAAAAAAAAAAATTTTTAGGTTGCTCAAGAGAAAACCTCTATCACTAGCTGATAATGCACGATTATGAAACAAGCCATGCTTAGAATGAGTGACACAGCTGACAGCAACATATGTAGGTAAGCTTGCCAGAGGGGAACTCTCTTAACACACACAGCTGCGCTCTGCCCAGTCCTCTGCCGCATTCACCAACATTTAAAATGAAAGGTATTATTTTACTGCGTGGTAACCGTGCGAACAGGAATGAGACAGAGGGCAGAGGTTTGGTTAGGAGTCTTGGATACAGTGTATGGTATACACATTACCACAGCCAGCGTGATTGACTCAAACGTGACTCATGTCTTCCTGCAGCAGTTCAAGCGGTCACCCAGGGTAAACAGGCAGAGACAATCTCAATCTCAGGGAGAGTTCACACACAACACACTTTTAGCGATTAAAGAGAAGCTCTTGCACAAAAGGGAACGGGTGCCAAGATTCAACAGCCGTATTAGGACTCCAACTGCCTCACTTTACCTTAGGAATGTGTGGCCACATCCAACTGTTGCTTCTTTTTATTTAAGAGCAGAAAAACAATCTCACTTTCATTTCACACAAAGAACAACTAAAAATGGGTAGAAAGGAGTGTGAAGATCACAGAGCCCTTTTTTAATGGGACAATAAACAAACCCACACAGGACAATCCCTCACTCTGTATTTCAAAACAAGAGTTGTAAAGACAAAGGTTGCACCAACTTGTCAGTGCTGTTTGTCTTTGCCCCCCCCCCGTAAAAGGCTGGATTTTACATCACTGTCTCTCTGTGGGTCTTCTTTAACAAGCCTCGCAGAGTGCTGCTGTGCTCTTAAAGGATAGAAGAAAAGATGGGATGGAGAGAGTGCTGATGCCGGCTTTTTGAGAACAAAGAACATAAACCAAGAGGCTGTGCCAAACACAGAGACAGGGAGAAGAGCAGTGAAGATAAAGTCTTTGCCAGTCTCTTACCGTAGGGCCAGGCTGTCCCCTGGGGTAAGGAAACAAGGATGAAGAGGGAGAAGAAGAGGAACCAGCCCTCCTTCCCAGATATAAAGGTGCTAGTCCAGCGGATTGTGTGGGTGCCCCCATGGGTTTGCCCCAGCTGCAGTCTCCGTCCGGCAGACAGCATGCTGCAGTCTGGAACTCTGTTTACTTTCTGAACCCAGCTGACATCACCTTCTCTCGGCCCTTCAGTCTTTCCCTCCCCCTCCCTCCATTTCTCCCTGTCTCTCTCTCTTTCTCTCTCTCTCTCTCACTCACTTTCTTTCTCTCTCAGTTTCTCTCTCTCTCACTTCTCTTTGGGTTCAGGTTACAGCCCAGCCTCGCAAGGAGTTCCACTTGCAGTGGTCTCCAAAAAACTCCCCTTGCTCCGCTCAGAGGACTACGTCACTGCTCATGAATGAACGCAGGCTCACGCGTTTTTCTCCAGAACTCATTATGGTGCCACACACACAAAAACAATGACACAAACATAATGAGGGGAAGCGCATCACAGCTAGATTTTGTTGTACACTATTTCCCAAGACTAATTGATGTGGTGACTCTTTGGTCCACTGTTAATCAAGTTCACACCATGTTAGGCTTTAAAGCAGAAGCTGTGTGTGGTCTCAGAAACCATAGCATTCAGTCATAATTAAGATTAAAGGAAAAGTTTAATATTTTGGCAAAATATGCTTATTTGATTTCTTGCAGAGAGTTAGATAAGAAGAATGGTACCACTCTCATGTCTGTGCACTAAATATGAAGCTAGAGCCAGGAGACTGTTGGCTTAATTTAGCATAAAGACAGGAAACTAGCTGGGCTCTGTCCAAAGGTAAAAGAATTCACCCACCAGCACCTTTGAAGGTCAGTTATGAACATGTTATATCTTTTTTGTTTAATCCATACAAAAAAACACAACAATAACAATTTCATATTTTACAGAGTGTTATGTGCCAAACTATGCTGGGACTATGGATTTTGTTATCTTGGGATAGGGATTTTGTTATCTTGGGATAGGGATTTTGTTATCTTGGGATAGAGCCAGGCTAGCTGTATTCCCATTTTCAGTCTGTATGCTAAGCTAAGCTAACCGGTTCTGGCTCCAGCTACATATTTACAGACATGAAAGTGTTCTCACCTTACTCTTAACACCTAAATGAATAAGTGTATTTCCCAAAATCTCGTAAAAAGATTCCTGATAAGTAATTTCTAATAATTACTTTTATCAGTCAATACTATGCACTAATACTGTATATAATGGCATATGATAGGTAGGTACTGTACCTATACATATAAATAGTATGAAATTAGATAATTACAATTTTTTATAACACTGAAAACATGGTTAATGTTGAGGGAGGGAATGAATTTAAAGAGTTTCCCTCGATTTCAAGCCTAACAAGAGAGAGGAAGCCAGTGAAAACCCTTTTTTTTTTTTTTTTTTTACAAGGGTTGTTTTTTATGATGTTCTGGGTGTGTTTTATTTCAGCTGGAATTAATTCATTTGTTGTTCTTTGCTCACTGGGTTCTCCGAGCTGTATGCGAGAGCTAACAGGGAATACAGATCAAACGACTCAGAGCAGGAGAATCAAACGTCCTGAGTGGTTTCCTAAAACAGCAGGATATAGACCATAGAAGGAACACATAAGCAGTGTTCCAGTCTGTGTATGTATTTGGTATGGAAACTGAAAAACAGACTGAAATCAAGAGTTTATGAAAATAGATGAAGATACACAGGGAGAGAGCAGGAAAAAGGGGGAAATCAAGGAAGAGAGGAGGGAAAGGAAATACTGTCTGCCTTGCTGCGCTTTCGATCCACCTTTCACCACCTCTCTGCTGTTTGTCCAGATGCCTAATGGTTTATTATATGAAACCCAAAGCTTTTAGGTTAATGTGGACACTGGTTTAGTATTTTCACAGAGACCACAGCTGCTGTCTGCTCTGTCAAAAGAAAACAGTCAAACCATATGCATTTTTGTATTGTGTATTATTGTATGTATATTTGTTTTACATACATAGAAAAAGTGTACAACTTTAGATGTATTGTAAAAAATAATAATACGATTCAACAATGCACTGATGTGTAGTTCTATAACGTTGTTATTAATATCTGTTTTGCCCACTTGACTACACTCACAGCATTTTGGTTACCTCGACAGACTAACAGAGCCCTGCTGACACCGTCATTCATCATTACTGTAGTAGAGACTTTCTCCTGAAGGGAAACATTTTCTCATGACCCCCAGATCATGCTCATCCTGGGCTACATTATATATGCTTCTCAGTTGGCACCACTGTAACTACGGTTGGTCAGAGAGAATGGGCCCCCTGCCCACGGAGCACAGTAAAATCTCATTACCAAGTACATGAAGGAAGTGGTGGAGTAGGAGCGCAACAAATTACCTGTGAGCGATTACACTTAATGACATCCACTTTTGACAACACATTTGTTACAGAATGTTTTTCAGAGGCTATTTGTAAAAATAAAGTTGCAAATTGCTGTCTGATCCGTTCATTATTAATAGCTTTAACTTTTTGCGTTGTGTTTGAGGTCCCAGAGGTCTCACGGGGTCAGACTAAATGAAGATGTCTGACTATGGAGCCATGTGGTTTAAATATGAAGGAATCTAATCATGGCATCACATTCATCCCATTTCTATGGTTACACAGCGGACACTGAGTAAACACAAGCGTTTTTTTCTCCAGCAGTTAATGGTCTCACTGTATCATGGCAGGACCTGCTGTCTCCATTAGAAGCAGTGGATGGAAACTAGGCCGTCTGCTTCACAGGTAAGATGCCTGCAACGGCTTTTTAGCAAAGCCGGCGACAACTGTTGCCAGGAGCACAGTGCCATGACGAGGTGCAGTTCAGTAATTTAATACTGCAGGACAGTGTCAAAGTGGTCGACAAATATGCTCTCATTTACGTGCTTCACTCTAAAGAGAACACTCCCTTGTGAAGACGGCTTGTTTTTCTGAACTCTTTTAAGGTTAACTACTCTGCACAGCCACTGTATTTATGCATAATTTTCAGTCCCTAAAGAGGAGCAGGGCCCTGTTTGTCCTTCTACCTGGCCCTCTATTTTTCCTTCATCACACACATATGGTTAAAGGGGAGGAGGGAACAAAACGAGGTAAGATAGATGCTGACGATATCACATTAAGTGACACAATGTGAATTAAAAAAGTAGGCCAGATAAGCCCAAATATACTGGAAAAAATTACACACTACACAGCAAGTTGTGCCTGAATTTACAGACCCTGTTAAGCTCGGCATGCTTATAATTCTTGACGTTTCATATCTATGCCTATAGATATGTCATGCTAGATTAACCCAGATACAGTGATTCAAGAATTCAATTTCACATTGTTGCCGTTGTCCATCCAATTCCAGATGCTTCAAAGCTTTCTCAGGGCTTGAAACGCACTTTATATTTAAGTAATCTAGCCAGAAACATCGAACATAGTTTTGGCTCACATGCACCCACTGTTTGTTTCACATTCCAAATTGTCCCTGTCTGGCTTTGATTTACCTTAATCTATAAGTCAGGTCAAATTCATTTACGCGTCACTTTGTTTCTTTGAAGCGTAAATCTGTACTCCTGAGTCTCCACCCAGTAAAGCTATGTAGCTAAGGCTGCCATGCCTGGAAATGACAAAGCCTGTTAATCCCACAGCAAAAGGTCGATCTGCTGGAGATTGCAACAGCAGGGAACCACATTAAAGGAGAGATTAATATAGCACCCGCAAGGGCGTCTATAGATAGGATGCTAGAGATACGATGTGCATATCTGAGGATACGCACATGCATGTGTGACCTGATGAGCTCCACACCCATATAATATCCAGCGTGCAGCATGAATTCTTCCATATGCACCTCCAGGAACTTGCTATACGGTCGAGTCAGCCTCTATAATGTAAACCTTATGACAACCTGTAATGAGGAACTTTGAAGTAAAATGTGGGCTTTTTTAAAATCTGATTCAGAACATAGTTGATCCTTACAGGAAAAAAAAAATACTTTAATAGGAAACAACTTATTTTAATAGGAAACAACTTCATTTAAATGACAGCATATGCAAAATATCCACTGACACCAGCTTTGCATGCAAATCCATGCACAGCCAAATGAAAAATCATCAAACTTCAGAGGACATTATTACACATATTCCTTCAAAGTTTAACTGCTTAATCAAGATTTAAAAGCTTGAACCCAGAGAACTGGGTTACTTATGTTCAATATTTTCCAATAAAACAAGGGCTCTCCCCTTGAAAATAAATTGGAGACTGACTATGATTCAACAAGGGCACCTTCTCTTTCAATACTGTGAGTGGGATTTGTCTCAGAATAGTCTCACTACATCATCCAAACAGCTCTCAAGATCATAAATCTTGTCAAGCCCATCCAAGTTTATAGAGACTGTACACTCCGACTGTGAGGTCTAAGACAAGGTCTTATGCACATAGCTACAAAACTCTGAAAATCAAATTGTTGAAGGGGTAAGAAAGACTGGAGCTGGGTCGCAGTAGCACTGGAAGCTCCTTGAGTAATTGCTGACCAAGCTCCCTTCCTGGAAGATGGAAGACACTGGAATAAAAAAAAAAGTCACTCTTATAATGGAAACCTCAGTAGGACATTGAAGGAGACACAGAGAGAAAGTATGGTATGCAGGAGGAATGAGGAGACTTTCCAACTGCTCTGGGTTCCAACAGGGAGTCACGAGGTCTCTGACACGAGACACAGTGTCCTACAGACCTGCCTCTGCTTTTGTTTATTAGACAATCGCATTTCCTTCCCTTTATCCGTGTTGACCCTTGTCGTGTCATTCGTACTAAAGAATAGCCACGCGGGCAGTGAACCAGACAACCGTCTCACACGGAGGAGTTTGTTTTGGTGTACCATGGAAACAAGGTTTCTGTTTTGGTCGTCTTTTTTCTGTATCCCCTTCCTGTCACCGTATGCAGCTGAACACCAAGGCTGTGCCATTGTGGTGGAAATAATTTGCTCAGAGAGATATAGGAGAGGAGGGAGAAAGAAAGAAAGAAACTGTTGGTTTGAGTGAGGTCAGTGTGAGAGACCAGAACTGGAACCACTGAGTTACTCTAAAGTGGAAAACAGCCACTCAAAGACCATTAACAGAAACCCAACATTTTACAGCACATCACCTCAGCGCTCCAATTCTCTTACTACTCTTCAACTTTGCTGCTTTGAGAGCAGTTTCTCGTCTCTGGGCTCTCTGTGTTTTGTT